TAATCAAATGCAAAGGAAAGGTGGAAAACTGTTCTCCTTTTTCTGCGCTCGCTGCAGAGCATCACCGGCAGCTTCCAGCCAGCCCTAATAACGTTATTGACTTGCCTCAGCCAAGAGATTAAAAGAGCCAGGAATTGTAAAGCCAAGAGGGATATTACGATCGTGTAGTCTGGCCTCCTACAAGAGAGGCTCTGGGTCGTCTCAGAATTTGTTATCTCAAGTGGTGAAAAAATAACCAAACCCCAAATAAAAATGATTTTAAAACGTCCGGTGACAGAGCAGTGAATCATTCCACTTCTTAATTTTCTTTACTGTTAAATTGAGAGTTTTGTTTCCAGTATAATTTCTCTTGGTTTCAGCTTACACCTACTAATTACCCTTCAAACAAGCGATGATTTTATTCAGACCAAACCAAAATCCTCAATTATTGCCCCCATCATTTTTCATTTCTTTTAAAGGAACTTTTAAAACTTTAAATAGGGTTTAACAATTTTTAAACCTTTAAATACGGTTTAAAAATGAGATTTCAAGAGCAAACACGTCACAACAGCATTCAGGTGCTTTGAAAATGTGAAAAATTAATGTTTTGACATGGCTCTTTGCCTCTCCTCTGCATTTGCTTTTTGAAACAATCCAAAACAGCTTGGTGAGGTTGGCACAGTGTGGCAAATCATTTTGATTGACTCAAATTTGTATTTTGCCATACGAAAAATAAAATGAGACAAAGCCTTCAACAAAGTCCTGTTTCCAGCTGGGTTTGAGTCACCCTTTAGCTGTCATTTACTGAACGCACAGAGTCCTTCCAGGCCATATCTTCTGTTTTCCAGCCTTTCATCATCCCTCTGACGAGCTGCGGTTGGAGCATATCAGGATGCTCTAACCCCTCTTAAACAGAGATGAAAAAAGGAAAATTTTCTGATCATCTTTCCTGTTTGTTAGCCTTTTTGTTTTGTCCTTGTGTCTAAAATCGATTGACTTTTGCATGGAATATAACTTACCATTTCTCTGTGGAAGCTGAGTGGAGGTGGAAAAAGGTTTTTGCTTCTACTTTGATCTTCATAGCAGCTGTTAGAATTTCAAAATAAACATTTTTAGGAGAGAGGTTTTTCTGGCTGCTTTGTCCAAAGCTGTGGTTTTAGAGGCACTTTGGACATCAGGGCAAAGGTGGTGCCGGCGGTTCTTTGCAGGAAGATGAATTATCACATACTTGATTGATTGCTGAAGGCTGAGAGAGTTGGGCTTGTTCAGCCTGGAGAAGAGAAGGCTCCGGGGAGACCTTATTGCAGCCTTCCAGTGCCTGGGGGGGCTACAAGAAAACTGGGGGACACTTTTCCCAAGGACAGGGAGTGACAGGACAGGGGTAACAGCTTTAAAAGGAAAGAGGGAGATGGAGATTGGACATCAGGAAGGAATTCTTCCCGCAGAGGGTGGGGAGGCACTGGGACAGTTTGCCCAGAGATGTTGTGGATGCCCCATCCCTGCAAGTGTCCAAGGCCAGGCTGGACGAGGCTTGGAGCAACCTGGTCTAGTGGAAGGTGTCCCTGCCCATGGCAGGGGGGTTGGAACTGGATGATCTTTAAGGTCCCTTCCAATCCAAACCATTTTGTTGTTCTATGTCTGCTCATTCTAGTTAGTCCCTTAAATTTGGTCTGTGGATTACATTTTTGATCTGGAGAAAGATTTTTTGGGGAAAAATGTTCAAGAGTTCCTATTCTGAATTTGCTGCAGCAGCCTGGTGCATCCTTGGGTTTGTTAGTGGGGAATGACCACTTAGAAGAGGGAAAGGACCTTACTCTTACTTGGTTCATCCAGAAGCAGCTTGAGATGAAGTTTGGACAGACCCAGTGTCAGGTCCCTTCCCATCCCCAAGCCCCAGCTGGGCTGGTCATGGCCAGCCTGGGAGACCCCAAACCAGGGCTGATCCAAACCTCCTCAGGGATACCCATGGCTAGGCAAATGCTGTCCTGCCTGGGGATGGGGCCAGGCATCACATATCTGCGGGGTTTGGCAGCACTTAAGAGCAAGGCACAAATTCTTAATAAAGTGATGCAGCACAGAGAAAAACACACAAACATGACATGGATTCATCTGCTGGCGATGTCTTCAGCTGCTTGAAGGGTTTGTCTGCTGTTTAGGGCTTCTTATGACCCTCATATCTGATATAGCTCTTCTAGGATTCACCAGCACCTCCAAGTGAATCAGGTCCCTAGGCAGGAGGGAGGCTGCAGCACCATGTTGGAGCTGGGTTGGATCACCTCTGAAGCCAAAGACCTGGTCTCCAACTGTCTCATTGGAGAGAAGAGATCTGGTGTCAGTAATACTCAGATATTCAGCCAGCTCTTCCTGACTTTCAGCTTTCACAGACCCTTCCTAACTCCGTGTGCTGGCCTTGGGGTCTGATTGTGTCTTCCTTGTGCATTGCAGACCAGCATCTCCATCGAGATCAGGTACCAGGCTGTGGATGGGACGGTGGGCACATGGAACGACAAGGAGTTCCTGGAGAATCCCAGCATCCACTCAGAGGGAGATGGCAGGTACCCCTTAGAGACAGACAGCCTCCTCTCCGGCCACCGGCAAGGCTCAGACATCTCTCCAGGCAAATCCAACCAGCAGTCCATGGAGAGGAGCTTCAGAAGGTAACGTGATGCTCAGCACTTGGAGATGTGTGATGGCGGTGGGGATGGGGAGGGCTTGGCTTGTTGTGAAAAGGCAGCATTGCCCCAGTGGTCCTCTAAGGTGCTTCACATTTCTGGGATGTCCAGAGACCCTTTATCAGAGCTCAGGGTGAGGATGGGCTGTACGTGTCCACCCACAAGTGCCAGCGGATCCCTGGTGCTCCACCACGGCTGCCTGGCACGGAGCTGAACCTTCCAGCAAGCACTGAGGTTTTTCAGCACATGGCAGATGCGGAAGAGCAAATGTAATTACAGATTCAGAGAGGATTAAGGGTCTGGCTGTTGGTCAGACCTCATATTGGAGGTGATTAGAGCCAGGTGTGGGCTGCAGAGCCATGTGTGGGCTGTTGCATCTCGCAGTACCCCCAGGACTGAGCTGCCTTTGGGATAGGTGTGCCAAGTGCATCTGCAGCCAGGGCGGGGGGAACAGGACATGTTGGCCACAAAACCACACCGATGTGGATGCTTCTGGGGTGGATGATGAGAGTGACAGTGCCTCTGACCTGTGTCTGTGGGCTGAGGGGCACCACGTCCCATGGCAAGACAGTTGGCACAGCAGAGACTGGAGGAGAAACCAGGGATGCTGTGGCAGAGAGGAGGGAATGAGCCCTTGCACCTCCCTTGCAGCATTAACCCTTAAACAGGGTCTCAAAGACATTTTCAAATGTTGGGTCCTCTGTACCTCGCTGGGCTTAAATGAAAACTGAAGGCATTGCCTGGGGTGGGGAGCCCTGTTTGGATGTTCTGAGGGACCCCTCACCCTGTGATGGCAAGTGGGGACCCCTCCAGTTCTTCTAAGGGGTGCTGTTACCAGCTTTCTATTAATCTAAGAGTCCTTAGCATCACCTTTGTGTCTTTCTAAGATCATGGGACCTGACACTGATAAAACAGGCCTGGGGACTGTATCCTTCTGTCTCTGGACACAGAGTTGCTGTGACCAGTTGCAAACCCAGCCTGCTGACTGGGATGGGTGGCTCAGGACTGGGGACGCTGCATCCATTGGGATGAAGTGCAAGTTGGGACTGGTTCTGCCATGAGCTGTGGCTTATGGATGCTCAAGGCTCATCCCCTTTACCACCTCATATACAGCCATGAAGCCAAGGCATGGGTGGACACTGAGGCCCTGGTGATGGTGGGCCAGATTCAGCCCACCCCATCACGGGTGCTTTGAACCCTATGCCCAAATCCTCGCCCAGCTCATCAGACAAGAGTTTTTCAAGTGTGAATCCACTTGTATATAAATATATTGGGTTCATGGGCTGCTAAGGCAGATTTTCAGGCAGCTTTATATGGTTTATGTAGTTGTGTTGCCCACGGTAGTAACTTTGTCAGTCTCCAATCTGGTAGCTCTTGAACCCATTGATCTCTTTCTGTTGGAAAAGTGGAGACATCAAAGTGCTGAACTTGCTAAAAGTCTCATGGAAAGAGAAAACTGACACAGGGGAGAATGGGACAGACAAAGAGTGCAGGCAGAGCAGGCAGAGCCGGATCCTCTGGTCACCCACCACTCTCCTGGAGTGAGCACAGCCCTTGTCCAAGGGCTACAGCCCCAAAAGTGGGCAACTCTTGTGCTTCCAAATCCCCATGGGAGCCCAGCCTGGAGGTGCAAATCCATACATACCCTTAGGAATTGGCTGGGTTTTTAATAGTCTTTACATGGCAGGTGCTGCCGTGGCCGTACGTTACACACACACACACCCCGCTGGGTTTAAGTAATTGTGTGCTTCGGTAGCATTTGCTTTCTGCCAGGGTTTAGCACTTTATCGTGGCTATATAAGGGCGAAATTTCTTTTTCCCCATGGTGCAAGATTGAGGGAAGATATCTCCAGTCGCTCACATCACTTCTAGGCAGTTAATTAACTGTGTGAATTGGGCTGAAACCTGTGAATTTTCAAGCAAATTGAAAAGTGCAGATTCGTTTCCCAGCTCAGTGGACCATGATGTTGCTGAACAGGGAAGATGCTGAAGGATTTAAAGAGAGGGTGGATGGCACATCCTGGCTTGCAGAGTGGTTTTCAGTCTGTCTGACAGGCCCGTATGTTGGGAAATCAGCGTCCTGCCTGAGCCATGTGGGTTTTGGAGACGTAGCAGCGTGATCTGAGCGTGGCTTTACTCTCACTGGAGATTTAATTAGCATTGCGTGGCTGATGCACTGCCTGCAGCAGGCAGTCAGATGAATTGAGGCTCTGGACCAGGTTTCCAGAGACTGTGAATTAGGTCAGAGGGTAAGGAAAGACACATTTAGCCAGACAAGATCCCACCCGGGGCCAATTTTTAAGAGGATGTGGATGGTTTGCTGACCACCTGGGTGCACAGAGCAGCGTCGTGGCAGAAGGCAGCTGAGTTGTGCTGGCTGCATGCAGACACTGCTGAGCAGAAGGACTTCTTGCGGTTGGTTATATGTGGTTGGTGAAAAAACCTTCCTGTTGGAGAGCTGAAATGAACGCAATGGTTTGTGACCCAGCAGCGGGGCTGTGTGGAGGGTAAATATTGCTATGACGTCTGCGCATCGAATTCCAGAACCGTTTGGGTGGGAAGGGACCTTAAAGCCCACCCAGTGCCACCCCCTGCGATGGGCAGGGAACCCTTCCACTAGACCAGGTTGCTCCAAGCCTCATCCAGCCTGGCCTTGGACCCTTCCAGGGATGGGGAATCCACAGCTTCTCTGGGCAACCTGTCCCAGGGCCTCCCCACCCTCTCCATGAAGAATTTTTTCCTGATGTCCCATCTCAATCTCCCTCTTTCTGTTTAAACCCGTCACCCCCTTGTCTTGTCACTCCCTGCCCTTGGAAAAAGTCCCCCCCACCCTCTTTGTAGCCCCCCCAGGCACTGGAAGGGGCTATAAGGTCTCCCCGGAGCCTTCCCTTCTCCAGGCTGACCCCCCCAACCCTCCCAGCCTGTCCCCAGGGCAGAGGGGCTCCAGCCCCCGGAGCATCTCCGGGGCCTCCTCTGGACTCGCTCCAACAGCTCCGTGTCCTTCTGTTGTTGGGGGCCCCAGAGCTGGAGGCAGAACTGCAGGGGGGTCTCCCCAGAGCAGAGCAGAGGGGGAGAATCCCCTCCCTCACCCCCCTGGCCACGCTGCTCTGGATCCAGCCCAGGATACAGTTGTTACTCTGGCACCGATCCTTGCGCTGCGTTTCTCCTGCAGGTCTGAGCCTCTTCGCAGGTGGGAGAGTCATCGTAGTGTGGTGAAATTCCCCCAATATTTGGCTTTAGTTTCTCCTTCAGATCCATGATTCTTTAAAAATTAAATAAATCCCTTTGCACACAGGGCTTATCTTGAGTGGGGCTGCGTGCTGCAAGTGGCCCATCAGCCCCAGAGAACCATCTCAGCTCCTTTCCTGCTGCTTCACAGCTCTCTCAGGAGCCGGCTGTGCGAGCTAGCACACAACTCTTTTAAAGGAGGAGAGGGAGGAGCGTCCCTTAGCAAATGCACCAAAAAAGCAAGGCATGCTAGTCCCACTGTCCCAAATGAGTTTGCATGCGGACAATGGCATGAAAACTGGATTGTTTCCTTGCTGGTTTTGTCCCATGGAGCTTCCCCACATCCTCTGCTTTGGAGTCTTGGCCCACAGCAGGTCTTTTTGAGCATGGGGAGCTGTGTCTTGCTGCCCTGCGCTCCCCTCTGCCAACCCCATTAATGGTCATTAATGTGAAAGAGCTGATGTTTTCCGTGTCACCACCCTCGCAGGATGGAAGAGGACAAGATGTATTACCACAGTGAAGATGAACTTTTGGGAGAGGGGGACAGCCTTAGCCAGGGATCCCTCAACACGAGGTAGGGAGCCAGTCAGCACCTACTCGTGCTGGTGGCAGTGGAGTTTGCCGTGCTGTGTTGCTCCTGCCTTGTCCCGATGGATGTCCCACAAGCATTGCCCTTGGATTTACATTTCTTGGCTGCAGGAGAGCTGGTGGGAAGAAGCAATGGAGCAGTTGGAAAAGCATCCTTGGGAAGGATGCTGAGGAGGGGGGCTGGGATCCAGGATGGAGAAAGGGCCTGGGGGTGAGGCTGTGCCTTCGAGGCCCCCTTTCTTCTCCAGGTCCCACCAAACACCAGGCTCAGCTGTTCCCAGAACCAGGGATCAGCCACATCCAGTGCATGGGGAAGAGCTTTTTGTGACGTGCATGAAGATCTGATTTCTGTTTGCAGTGGCTTCTCTTTCAGCGTGGTGCTGTGAGTTGTTCCCCACCGTGTGCCAGGAAGAGTGTGGGGAGGTGCTGCCAAAAATAGAGAAGTTCAGGTAAAACCCAAGGATCAACCCAATGCCTCTGAGAGCAGCTCAGCCAAAGGAAGCAGCATTTTTGGGGGGGTGTCTCCTCAACTTGTGTGGGTCCAGTGATGGCAGAAAGCACATGAGGGTGGTTCTTCCTACACGTGGCTCTTCTGGGGAGCTCATTTCTCATAGCAGCTCGCCATGAGGCCAGTGGACAAATGCCTCCAATTGCACTAGCATGAAGATATTGACTCTCCGTTTTGGGAATTCATGGCCACATCTGTATGGGTAAACACCTCTGTCAAGTCTCATTAATTGGACAGTCCCAGGCCAAGCATCTGAAGTGTCCATAGCATTAATAAATTTTGAGGACGTTCCCTAAGAAGGCTTCAGCTACCTAGCACTGACCCAGATGGTCCCCAGGCAGGGTCGGGAGGTACAACAGCCACAGGCCAGTCCCAAGGGGCAGATTAGGGAATGCCCATCCAAACCCTTTCTTTGGATGGCAAGCATTAACGTGGGTGCAGTATGTGCCGGGCAGTTTGGTTTCAAAGGTGGGGAGTGTCCCCTTGAACTTTGAATTACATAGCGTGGAGGTACGTGGCTGTAGCACATGCCCAGTGAGCAGAACATTCCTGCATGTGTCCCACAATGGGATGTCTGGGTGCCTGGAGATGGAGGGACAGCCCAAGTGCTCTGGCAAGGCTGCTGGATGCCTGGGAGTCCCCCCGGAAGCTGAAGTGCAAC